GCCTTGGGGTGGGGCGGGACCCGAGGCTGCCTGACCGGCACCGGGCCACTGCGGCTCCTGCGAAACGCCTCGGTCTGGGAGGTGTCTTCAGGGCCGTGTGCCCAGCCTGCGGCGCCCGGCCAGGCAGCCGGAAGAAGCCCGAGAGAGTTCTGGAAGGGGTTGGAGCCACCGCCTTGGAGCATGGCCGCTGGGGCCTCATTCCATGCAGTGTCCCCCAACGCCCCCATGAGACGGGGCTGTCGAACCGCAGCCCACACTCAGGGAAGCCATGCTGAGGGGAGGCTCAACCCGCTCCAGGGAGACAGGAAGACACACCAGGCCTCGTCCCCCCGAGCACAGAAGATTGTGTCAGCGCCCCATTGGCTGTGAGCGCTGGCCCAGCACCGTGAGCGGGAGGCAGCTCCAGCCGGTCGGCCCCTCGCAGCCCGGCCTGGCTTATGAGCCGGCGGCCCCTCGGCCTCCTGGGGTGCAGGGCGCAGCCAGGGCCTGCTGGCCCAGCGTGGCCTTTTGGCTTCGCGCACCAACACTGCCCTCCTGTGGCCGCATGTCCCTCCACTGGGCGACGGGGCACCTCCTCTCCTTTGGCATTGTTTGTTCTGCTCCTAAAAGTAACGTACGTACTTATCAAAAATGAAAAAGAAGAAATAATATAGGAAAGAAAATGTGGCCATGAGCTTAGCAAGAAATGGCCAAAGGCGAGATTTCGATCTATTTCAAGTTTTCTTATGTTTGACGATGATGTTTCCGGGTGCCCCCTGCCCCCCATTATGACCCACCATTTCCCACGGAAAACCTGCAAAACGCGGAGGACAAGCAGGCGGGCGCCCGGCCCCTCCCCGGCAGCCCGTCTCTCCGTGGTTTTGCGCCCTTCGTGATGCGTGTGACTGGGGGTCTCATCGGAGGGGCAGTTCCGCCTCTTCTGAGCCACAGTGGTCACGAGCATCCCCCCACGTCGCGAAAGCCCGCAGTGGGCACCTGCTTTTATTTTAAGGAGCCTGCGTTTCCCCCAAGGGCCTGCGCGTGCGTCCCTCGTCCCTCTGCCGGGGACGTCGTCCTGCCCCAGCCTCTTCCGGCTGTTTTTCTCTGGAGGGTTCCACGCTGCTTTCTCTGCCGTCCCAGGCTCTCATCTTTTGTTCTGGCCTTGGGTCCTAGGCAGCTCCACCTCTGGGCTCTGCCGGTGACCCAGGCCAAGGCGGGCTTAACCGCGGGCCGCCCCGGGGGTGCCACGGGGAGCCTTTTAGCAGGGTGGAGCCTTCTGCGTGGGCCCTGGCTGCACTGCCCGCCCCTCCCCGCCCGGCATGCACCGAGCCCGTGGCCTCTGCTAACACTGCAGGCCTGTCGGACACTCAGGTCTGCCGCTGTGAGTGTCAGACGGTGTCGAGGTCACATCAGACACACATTAGCTGTCATGGTCCCCACTTTGTCCAGTGGTGAGATGGCAGCCCACCTTTGCAGGCGGCCGGCGCCCAGCCTGGCCCTGCGTCCCCCGCTCAGGGTGTCCCAGGCAGGCAGACAGAATCTTCGAAACGTTCGCCTTCTGTCCAGCAAGCTGAGACGCCTCGAGGATGCCGAATAGGCAGCCTGGGCACCTGCACCTCCTTGTGCCCTCGGCGGGCATCACTGGCCGCTCGTGGGAATCTTCCCTCTGAGCCCGGGCTTCGCCCAGTGACCAGGCAGCTGCTGGCACTGGAGGGAAACCTGTGTGTCGCCGGGCCTGACACCTCGTGTGTGTTCTCCCGTTTTGGTTCTGGCCCCAAAACCAGAGCTCAGCTTCGCCCTCAGAAGTAATTGAGAGACCGCGTGTCTGTCACCTGCAGCTGACACGGCCGGCCTGGGAGTCCCCCTCGCGTGAGCGCGCTCTGAAGCGCGCCCAGCGGCTCCTGTCCGTGCGGGCGAGCGCCGCCGGTCCTTGCTGCTGGCGGCTTGTCCTCTAAGGCCGCTGTGCTTCCTTTCCAGGTTCATCTGCAGACCTGGTGAGTCGCCCGGCCATTCGCTCCCTGCTGGCCACGCACCCTGTGTGCCGGGAGCCACACGACCCCGTTGACCCAGCTCTCCGCACGGCCTCTGCGGTCGTGGGGGTCCTGGTGGCTGCCACTCGCCCCCCGATCTGCTCCCGGTGGCTCGCTCGCACAGGGGTGCCCAGCTCTGTGACAAGCATCCGCGCCCGCCCCCCGCCCCCACCCTGATGTGCCGTAGAGCTCTCTGTTTAGCTGACTTGGGGATGAAGTCCCCGAGGCCGCTGATGGGGTGTAGACGTTGGGTCATAACCCCAGCCGTGGGCTCCAGTCGAATTAAGCAGTTGGAGGACACTGACTAGGCCGTGCTTGGGCGCAGAGATGCTCTCGTGGGGGAGGAGGGAAGTACAGCGTTTAGTCGTGTGCAGCAGGACACGTTCCAGATAGAGGAGACCACAGCTCAGGGCCGGGCTGGTCAGGGCAGGCTTCCTGGAGGAGGTGGGAGTTAATGGTCAGGAATGGGCAAAGGGAGGGTGTGGATGTCCCAGGGCCATGGAGGGCACAGAGCTGGAAGGCGCAGTAAGAATAGTGGGGTCGTCACATAGGGAAACAGTGTCACCAGTGCCCGTGGGAGTCCAGGATGTGCCCGTCCTCCGCCTGCTTCCTGCCTGAGCCTTGGGTCTGGGGGCGCATGGGGGGCTGTCAGGGGCTCGGGCAGCCTTCTCTCATACTGCCGTCTGTCCTTGCCCTCACAGGAAGCCTCTGGAGCGGGACCGGGTGAGTGTGGGACTTGGGCCCTCTCGGCTATGGTCCGTGTCATCGGTCACCCTGGGAGCCGAGCCTGGGCCTGGCCATGGGGACGGCCCAGCTTTCCCCGGCCGTGGCGGCTCCAGCCTCCCACCGGGCATGCCGTCCGCCGGCCCTGCCCGCCTCCCGCCTTCTGGCCACCTTTCCTGGGGGCCGCCTCAGGGTCTGAATGCAGCACCGGGCGTGGGGACAGGGCCCGGCCTGTGAGGGGCAGTGTCCTGTCAGCCCAGGAGAGGCCCCGAGCGGCAGCCCAGAGACCCGGGCGGAGTGGACACGTGCCTCCCGTCCTGTGTCGTGTCATGGGAACGTGGCTTTAAATGTCGAGAGTCGAAAGCATCGTGTTCTATGACACATCCGTGCGGTCCAGGCAGTAACAACGGTCGGGACGTAGTCACGACAAAACGAAACGCAAACCGCGCTGACCCTGCCGCTGGGACGTCAGCGCTGGGCGCACGTGGGGTGGCCGGGCCAGAGCGGGCGCCGCCTAGAGGCCCGCGTGACCTCGGGGCTCAGCTGGGACCCCCGTTACTGCCCTCGAGCTGCCCGGGACCAGCCGTGTGGCCTTGGCCAGTCCCTGGGCCCGGCCGACCCCGTGTCCTGCTGCCCGTGGGGACACTCACGGATTTGAAAGGCGTTAGGAAGAAAATGCATGAAGTGCCGATCAATAAGCGGCTGTCGCCACCGCGACCCCCTGTGTCGTTAATCTGCCAATCACATAAATGTGCCTGACACACGGAGCCTTGAGAAGGATTTAGGGGGTGGCATGCGAGCACCTGTCCCCTCGTCCAGGAGCCCCCAGGGGCCCGAGCAGGCCCGGGAGACCGAGGTCAGCAATGGGGCAGGCTGCCGCTGGGACGGAGCCACCGAGCCACCCCCTCCTGCCCTGTCCTCCGCAGGTCCCAAGATGGTGGCTGCACAGAATTACCACGGCAACCCTGCGCCCCCCGGGAAGCCGGTGCTGACCTTCCAGACGGGCGACGTGATCGAGCTGCTGAGGGGGGACCCCGAGTCCCAGTGGTGGGAGGTGGGTCCTGGGGGCCTGGAGCGGGGAGGCCCTGGCTTTTCCCAGCCCCCACCCTGGGGTAGAAGCGCAGGGCCCCAGCATAGGCGGGGGCTGGGGAGCAGTGGGCTGTCAGCAGGACGTGGCTCCGTCATCCTGGGGTGCTAGCCTTTACATGGGGTGACTGCGGTGTCGCCGACAGCGGAAGCCCCCGTCCTGGCTCCCCCATCTTCTGCCTCCACTGCATCCGGCGCACCCTCCCCCCGCCATGGCCACCCTGCCCCAGTTCTGTCCAGCACCATCGCCGGGCAGCCGGGCACCATGCCGGGCCCTGGGAGACACCACGACCGGGGCCCATTGCTGTCCTCCCCCAGGTGGGCAGACAGCGTCAGTGCGACCGTTCACGGCTCCCCCAGGCGGACAGACAGCGCCAGCCACC